TATGTGTTTTTAAAGAAATGATCTATGTAAGGACTGAAAATAAAACAATTTAGCCATTTTCCAAGATGCCTTACAGAGGAAATGAAATAAAGAGAAATTTTAAAATCTTACATTCTTTGGGCTACTGTTCTTCCATCACCCCTCCAGCTAAGAAGGATCTCCCTGAGGGTATTTTCTAAACCTATAGAATTGTGGAACATTCTGCTGTAGACTGTTAGCAGATACTAGGCACAGTAGATACTCAACAAATACCTGAATTTAATAATTTAATAACAATCCTAACATAACATCCCCACATCTCCCTATCCTCTCTCTCACTCGCCCCCCACCCCCCAGACACACCATCTTTAAATCTAGCTAGCATCACCAAACACAGGCAATCAAAGTTAACCTGGCAACTGTCTAGTCAAAAAGCAGGAATTTTCTATATCAAAAGAGGTGGTTCTAAACTGCCTCTTCCTTCACATACAAAGGAAGATATGGAGAAAAGTACACTTTTAAAGACTGTAAAAAAGTCATTTATTCCAGTGGCAAAGAAGCTATGGTTCCTTTGGAAATGCCAAGAAAGGACAAACCATGATCTGTGCTTGGTGCTTCTTGGGGGACGTGCACATGTACACAAGCATGTGAATACCTGTCCTCCAGGGGTACTTTAACAGCACCAGCCTGAGTTCCTACACACGTCACACTAAAGCCAGCAATGCTGGCTTGCACATTCAGGGCTGGACACAGGCAAGCATTCAACAGCGCAAGTCAAGCCATCTGGTAGCCCAAGAGGTAGGATTCACCAAAAATCTTTAAAAGACTTTTAGGTACTAGCCACTTTTTTTTTACTACTTCATGTGGCATATTTAAATATCCCTATAACTATATATGTTGTTGTTGTTGTTTTTTTTAAGATCAAAAGAAGGGTTCTATTGGGTATTTGTCAAATAAGAGTGGAAAAACCATCTCTGACCTTTGGGTGGTATGTTAGTCCAATCCATACAATAAACATAAGTATATGTAAATACAATGGTACATGTAGGGTCAGGGATCAGTCCACATAGGTGACATGTATTCATTTGAGAAATACCCAAACATATTGTGGTTAAGGAACAAATACAGTGGATTATAAATTCAAGGCTGATACCACTGGAGGAATGTAAATTGGTACAACCACTTTGGAAAATAGGCATCAGCTAGTAAAGCTGGAGATACACACACCTATGACCAGCACTGTTCATAACTGCCCCAGACCAGAAACCATTCAGATGTCCATCAGCAGTGGATGATGGATAAATAACCTGCAGTATGTTCAGACAAAAGTGAACATAGGCACATATAACAACATGGATGAGCCTTATATATAATACTGCAAAAACTTAAACAAAATTATGTGTATATGTATATATACAGGGTGTCCAAAAAAATGTATACACATTTTAACAGCTCATAGGTCAATTGTGAAAATGAAATGTATTTTAATAAACACTACCTTTATAATTATTCAAAGTGTATATATATATTTTTTGGGGGGGGACACCCTATATATGTATATATAAAATAATTACAATCATATCATAGGTATTAACATGGATGAATTTTAAAAATATGTAATACTACAAGAATTTAAACAAAAAAATGTGTCTGTGTGTAGATATACACACACACACACACACACACACACACACTATTGATAAAAGAATTTAAAAGAATTCCTACTTTGAGCTTATTTGCACAAGATTTAAAAAAAACAGGCAAAATGAAACTGTGCTGTTTAGAGATTTATATTTAGGGGATAACACTACAGAAGAGAAAGGAAGTGATTTTTCACACAATTGAGAGTAGTTACTGGCTTATTACCTCTGGGGTGAGGGAGTCATGGGGAAAGACTGGGATTGAGGGTACTTCTTGATCTGCAAGATGGTTACTATTGTGTTTACTTTAAAATAATTAAGTTATACATTTATGTTTAATAGCCTCTTCTGTGTGTTACAATTCACAGTTTTATAAAAGGTTAAACAACTATAATGTTCATTTCCAGGAATTCAGAACCATTACAATTCTGGCTAATCTGGGGAAAGAACACTTCCTCTCTGAATGTTACTATCAGCCTGTCAGCACAATACCTTTTAGCATGGCAAATGTCCTCAATAAATACTAACATTTAAAACCCATAAACTCTTTATGGGAATTTTGTTTTAACTCTCTCATCTCCTGAATTATGGATTTAAACTGTGCCTACATTAACACTTCCCTTTTTTTGTCTTCACCCCAGTGAAGCTTTCATAAATAACTAAAGCTACCACCTTAAGTGTTGTTTGCTCTGTAAGTTTATACCCAGGTGCTGTTGCTTTAGTAACTCTCTCTGCTTTCCACTCCCTTTTATGCCTCCTCATAAGCAAAGAAAAGATGAATACACTAGTAGTCCTAGACTTATTTTTTTCCTGAAGGGAAAGTTTCATCTGCAATTGAGAGTAACACCTAGGATCTTAATGATTTACTTGCTTTGAAGTTGGTTAAAAGAGGGTCATTTGCCAGTTGTCCAAAGAAATACTGCCATTCTATCAGGTTAATAAAACTTTACAACCAGCTGTAATTAATATACATGCTACCAGTTCTAGACAGAACTCAAATATCTATGAACAGGACCAGTTAATTTTATAATAATTCATTTCACTTAAAAAATCACATTGTGCAAAGACATTCATGAAAATGCTTATTAGAAAAGTCTAAAAGGATACAAACCGATTAACAGAGTCAGCAGCTGTTTTTGGGCAAGATGCTCAAAAGAAACTTTTAACCTTATCTGTAAGTTTTAATTTTTTTACATAAAGGATGTTTAAGCCCTGCCCAGTTTGGCTCAGTGGATAGAGTGACGGCCTGCGGACAGAAGGGTCCCAGGTTCGATTCCGGTTAAGGGCACATGCCTGGGTTGTGGGCTCCATGCCCAATAGGGGGCATGCAGGAGGCAGCCGATAAATGATTCTCATCATTGAGGTTTCTCTCTCCCCCTCCCTTCCTCTCTGAAATCAATAAAAATATTTTTTAAAATAAAATAAAAACAAAAGTTAAAAAAATAAAATTTAAAAAAGAACGATTAATGTATTTCTTGTATTTAGAAAAAGTGTTAATCCTCTTTACCTTGAAAGAAAATCCCAATTACAGAAGAATCCACCAAACACAGACACCTTCCTAAAGACCACCATTTAAAAATGCTAGTTTTTATGCTAAAGTTTTAAAGGATTTCCTGAAGCTATACACCTGGCCAGTTTTTATGATATAAATAAGTATACACATTTATGCTAGTCTATTAAAAGATGCTATAGAAGTCATACTTGCATTCAGCCAATATAAGAGATTTCAGATGAGAACGCGGCATGGACAAATTCAACACTGACGTTCAAAAGACTTGGGATGAAGGAAACTGTCTCCCCTTTTATGGGGGAAAGCCAAAAATATCAAGCAACTACCTCTCCTCCCCCAAGCGTCAGAAGATGAGTCAGAGCTGGAGGCAGGAATAGCGCCCATGTGTCAAGCCGCCAGCTGCAGGTCTCATTCCTACCTCCACCCGCCAACCCTCTCCCTCTCCCAGGCTGGGGTCCCTGCCCCGGGCTGTCCCCGCGGTGAGTTCTCAGGTGTCCCCGGAAGACAGGCGGTTATTCATGCTGGTGGGTGCCTCACTCCCTGCGTTTCTAAAGGGAACTCAAGAATGGGAGCCTTTATGAGCCCACAACAACAGTCACCAAATGCAGCTTGTCGGTGGAGCCTGCAGACACACACAACTTTGCAAAGGATACAGCACCTTTGTTCCCCTCGTTTTAAAGAGCAGGAAACACGCAGAGCAGCTGTGTCTTGTCCTGTATCACTTCACTTGGTGACAGAGCTGAGTCCCTAGAGCATGGAGTTGCTGAAGGCTGGTCGCCGCCTCTTTGATTTTTAATTGAACTGTCCAATCTCAGGGACGATGTTCTGAGTGGCCTTATAGACTAGGGATTCCAGGAAACTCTGAGTTAAATCTCTTGGTCCATATTCCTTTAAGGTTCGTAAAGAATAGGGACTTGGCTCTTTTCCTCCGTTTTTACCTCTGTAAAACGGGATGCTAATGCTCTCTACCTACCCCGCTTATAAAATTACCATGAACAGCTGCTAGTTAATACATGCTAAATGCCCTGAGGTCCTGCTGGATAAAAAGTACAAGGAGGTTTTTTTGGTGTGTGTGTGTGTGTGTAACAACTAAATCCCTACACAGCAGAACTGCATTTGTAAGTCATTTCCCTTGCCTCTCGGATACCCTGTTACCATAACACTGGCTGGTACCATTGGCAACATCCACCTAAATAAAATATAGTCATACAATCCACTTAAGACGGTTACAGCATGCAACTGCCCTCACACACAAACAATTCAACTTCGCTCTGGAGCAAGGGCACTTAGAAGAAATAAAACACGCTAGCACTGCGCACACCAATTTACCACCGCGAAGAAAAACGCTCAAGTTGAATACTTGGCATTGCTCAAAGTCTTGGCATTGCTCAAAGTCCAGGTGCTCCTACCCGTGCACCAGAAACCTTCGGCGGCTGCAAAACGCCGCCGTCGGCTCCCGCGGCTCGGAGCGGGCGCACGCCGACCGCGGGGTGAGGGGTGGCGAGGCCGCTGAGCAGAGGGGTCGGGAGGGGAGCGGACGAGGATGCTAGCGAAGGGGCCCGAGGGTCAGTATCCGGGGCCAGGGTGTCCGCCGAGGAGGGGAGCGGCCGGGGCGGCGCACAGAGAACCAGGGAGGCGGGGGCCGCGTGCTGAGGAGGGGGCGCTGCGGAGGGCGCGGGGCCTCTCCTCTCCCGCCGCCCAGAGGATGCGAGAGCCACTGGGAGCAGGTGGGGGCGCCGGCACAAAGTTTCCAGAGACGAGGGTCGCGGGGGACCCGGGACCCTGGCCACCCGATCCAGCCAACGTCCCAGAGCCGCATCGGCGCCAAGTCCCGCCCGTCCGCCCCCCGCCCGGGCCCGCGAGCGGCGTACCGGTTCCGACGGGTTCGGGGCGGACGCTCCGACCTCCTGCGCGGCTCTCGGCTTCTGCGGGCTGGCCGCCGCGCGCACCCCTCCTTCTCCCCTCCGCCAGCGCCCGGCCGGGCCGCGCGCATGCTCCCTGCGCCCCACCGCCCTCTCCTGAGGCGGGGACTCCGGGCTGTGGGCGGGGCCTCGGCGGGGGACGCCGCGGGCGTTGCGCATGCGCAATGTGCCCTCCATCACAGAGCCGCTCGGCGGAGGCGAGCCCCCTGCTCCCCAGACGCCCGCTTCCCCGCCCCCCGCAGACTCCACTTAGGGGTCCCCTGCTGTCTCCTCACCCGCCTCTCTCCCGTTCCCACTTGAGCGTTTGCAAGCCGAGTTTGGGGCACGGGTGCAGGGTGATGTACTGGTACTTTCTGGATGTGAGAGAGTTAAAGGCAAGAAAACAATTATAAGAGGGTGAAGACTGCAGTTCGTGACTAATCGCCAACTCTCACCCCACCCCCACCCCACCCTCTATCCGCCCGGAGAGCCCGGGAGTCAGGGCTGAAGAGTGAAGGGAAAATCTCGTAGCAACTGTTGGGTGACTTCTGCTTGGGCAAGTGTGGGCGGTTTCCAGTAACTGCGGGGGCTGTATTGTCCGAGACACAAAAGTAGCCATAGATGCGGCGATTCTTTGCCTGCCCCGAGGTCGCCAACCCACCAGCGGGAACACGGGTGCCATCTGAGTCTCCAAACCCCCATCCACACTGAGCCCGAGCCTCCAAGGTGGGGATTAGGGTCTACGGAGCCCAGGCTCAACATGCAGATTCGTTGAGGGCTTATTTGCTCTCTCTGAGGGTCTTTCTTTCCTTTTTACTGGTAGGTTGGCCCATCTGTAACATGAGTAGTTGCAAAACCGACTTTTTCCAGCACAACCCTGCCCTGGCAGGTGAGGGGAGTAGAGACGACTTCCTCGGGGCTCCGTGAGTCAGACACCTGAGTCCTGACTCCACGCCCTGCCCTTTGCGCACCAGCTCCAGCTCCTGGTCGCTGTAAAGCCTTGGCGTCGGAACTGCTGAAGTCAATCGAACAGTCACAGGTCTGGGGGAGGGATTGACGAAGGAAGTAAAACCGCGTACTGCGTTCACATCTCCCAGCATCTTCAACCAAAAAGCTTTGAGGCTTTTTCATGCTCGTCCTCACTCCCAGCGGGACTCGGAGTCTCCCCCTGGGTGCAGGAATATCTAAAAGTTCTGTCTACTTCCCAGACAACAGAACATCAAAAGCATTTTCGTGTTCATCTTAGGGGAGCCAAAAAGTTCTAGGATGGAGGGATTTATTTTGCCTTCATAAATAGAGAATCAAAGCCTTAAAACTAGGCCCTAGTCGGTTTGGCTCGGTCGATAGAGTGTCAGCCTGCGGACCAAAAGGTCCCAGGTTCGATTCCAGTCAAAGGCACATACCCGGGATTCGAGCTCGATCCCCAGTACGGGGTGTGCAGGAGGCAGCCAATCCATGATCCTCTCTCATCATTGATGCTTCAGTCTCTCTCTCCCTCTCCCAAATCAATAAAAATATATTTTTTTTAAAAATGAGGCAAAACTAATCTTTTTGTGTGAGAGAAGGAAACTGATTCAGGATAAAACACTAGTTCAAATCTTGCCTGGGAAAGGCATCTTCCCAGCACTAAGCTACTCCACCATCAATTCATCTAGTGACTTTTGACATGCCAGTACCAAAATAGCAAAATCTCTAGAGAAGCCATTGTATGCCTCTCTTCTTTCTTTCTTCCCCTTCCTCCGTCTTTCCTTCAGTCAGTTCAGTGACTCAGCAGCACAAATAGATGCATCCCTCTGGATTCAAGCTTGTTACCCAGGAGGCAGGTTTCCAGAACAGCTCTAGTTAGTGAGGAGGAGCTGGGCATGTTCATGAATTTTAGGAACCAAGCCTACCATGAAGAATCATATCCTCATCAGTGAAGAGGGGGCGGGGGTAGGACTAACATAGACTGTGTTCAGTGTGAGGCACGTATAAAGATCTAGAGATTAAGGAAAGTAGGACAAAGTGCTGAATTCAGCATGATCACTTAGTGACTACACATAGGCCTGTGGGTAGGGAGGTGCTTCATACCTTCACAGTGGACGTGTAGGCTTCTATATGCCTCTACCAAAAAGGAAGAAAGGGAAAAAAAAAGCAAGCAACTTGAAGGTATTATTTTCTAAACCAGCACAGTCCAATAGAACTTTCTGTGATATAAAGATTCTTTCTGTGATAGAAATGTTACGTATTTGCACGGCCCAGTACGGAATCCCCTAGCCTCATGCGGCCTTTGAGCACTTGGAATGTGGGCTGTGACTGTATTTTTAATTTTAAAAGCTTACTTATCGATTTTAGGGAGAGATTTGTTGTTCTACTTCTCTATGCATTCATTGGTTGATTCTTGTATGTGCTCTGATCTAACCTGCAAACTTAGCATATTGGAATGATGCTTTAACCAACTGAGCTACCTGGCCACAGCAATTTAAATTCATTTTAATCCATTTAAATTTCAATAGCCACATGAGGCTAGTGGCCACCTTTCTGGATAGCAATTACTTGACTAGAAATAGGTATCTTTATAGGTGTTAACGATCTTTATAGAAACATCTCAGAGGTCATCTGCTACAAGAGTATGACTTGTCTATGCCTCGGGAGGTGTGGAGGCTCCTGACTGTATCTAAATAAGCAGCGTTTTAGAGTGATGCAGCTTCTACCCAGAATGAGAGCTGATCTGATTAGACACAGTAAGTAGAGGGTGGAAACTGCTACTCTGCTTGGCTTCTGACTTCTGCCTTTCCAAAAATATTCTCCTTAATTGCTTAGGCTCCTTAGACTCATCAGACCTTTATGGGTCCCTGAGAAAGAAGAGCTGCATCTTCCATTTGTATCATTGCCTCTGGTTAACAAATTGACCGCAGCTTTGATAGATCTGTCAGAATTGGGGAACAGCTGTGATCAGGCTCCTCCGACTACAGAAGTTTACTATCAGGTCCTGTTGGTCACAGGTGTCTCAAGCCCCTGCTTGCTAATGTCTGTAATTCCAGAACATATGCCATCCATTGCCAACTAAAATGCAATATGGTATTCCTCCAGAAGTAAGTCTTTAAACTATTGTCCTTTGGCACATTTGAAAGGGACACAGGACACCAGGTATTTGAGGGGAAACTATAAATGTGGAAAAGATAAAAGAACTAGGAGATAGAAGTCCCCAAACACATTCCATCTACTACAGAAATTGGCTAAGGCTGTTTTATAAGATGTAATATGCCACCTCATATAGCTATCATAAGGACTAAATTTTATTAATGTAAAATATTTTAAACTTCTATTTTTAGAGTATTTATAATTCTCATAAAATAAAATTTATTTTCCATTAATATGCAAGTGTCACATTACCAGAGAGGGTGTGCAAGTGCATCACCCATAATTTTACTACTTAACAACAGTTAGCTTTGTTCTGATCTTTTTACTATGCATGATTTTTTTAGTTTTCTTTACATAGTGACATAGTTCTGTAACCTGACTGCAAGCTTCCTGGGCAAGGCATTGTATAAGAGACTATTACAATATGTCTAGGATAACTAGGTCATTTAGTATGTATCTGTCTCTGAAATTTTCTGCCCTTAATTCAACCCTGGGGCTGTGGCAATGATGCAGTGATGAGAATTCCAATGTAAATAAGATCCTTGAAAATGCACATCTGCCTGTTTTAACATTTGCTCTGTGTCTTTCAGATTTTCGTGTCCCCTCTGCGAGACTTTACCATGATGTGAATTGTGTGGTACAGGAAAACCAAGTGCTTGCTTATACCTGGCTGGGGTTAAATGAAAATATCAAAGGTCCCATGGGAAGGAAGGGAGGTGCCAGGTGGTTAATATACCTTATGCCATTTAATCTTCGTCAAACCCCGTCAGGAAGTATTATCAAGCACACTTTACACAGAAGAGTTGAGAAACTTGCTCACGGTTGTATTATTATTATGGAGCAGAACAAGCATTAGCACTCAGGTCTTTCCAGTGTTGTGCTGGTGAACAAGAAAGTATATAAACTCTTAACGTAAAAAGGAAAAGAGAGGGGTTTTAAAAAACTTACAACTAGGATGTATTCATGTATTCTTTACAAATTGTTTTTAAAGAAAGGGGAAATGAAGAAATATTTCCCCCATGAGTTAGACACCTCTGGTAGTAACAATACCAGCAATGTTAAGAGACCAAACTTTTAAGGGCATCCTAGGTAATTAATGCCACTTTGCATAATCTCCTACACCAGAGGGGGAAAAACCTGGTCCTACTGAAAGGGAGTAAATGCCCATGTCAGTCCAAGAGCCTATATACTTCCCCTCTAGTTAGAAATTGCTACCACTCAAAGTCTCTGACTATGCAAATGAAAGAGTGGAATATGAATGCGGGTAGGTAGTAGAGGTTCCCGCATGGTTTAGGAGGCAACATCTAACCTACTGCATTGCTCATCTGCTCTCTGCTTTGCCAAATAGTAGCAAATCTGTGTTACAGCAAGTTAAGACACCTCAAATGATTCCCCTCCACCCCAAGATGTGTATATTATTGCTATAAACATACCAAAAATGTCTCCAGAGCCCTGGAACAATGTCTGGCTACATCCTGCATGCTAATCAGGGGTATCTGCTTTCACCAGAGGGAGCTCCCAGGCCCCTATATCCACCCCATCTTGCCCCATCTGCTGGAAATTCATGGCTTGCCTTTTTCCTTCTCCTAGTTTCCATGGAGACCCAACAGTTTACTTTTTACCCCCAACTTTAAGCCATGGTTATTTTTAACTCTAAAACTCTGAGCCAGGTCACAGCTTGGATCTGGTAGATGCAATGACATCTATAGCCACTCTTCTCTGCAGCAGACGCCTTCTTTTCTGCAGTTGCTGGGGGTGGAAGGCACTCTGGGAGATGTTGCTCTCAAAAGGGTTTTGGTTTGCATCATGAAGTTAAAACTATGCTGACTTAGATCTGACAGCTGTCCTGAATCTGAACCCATGTAAACCCAAAACCAGGCAAAGATTTTCTTGTGTGTATGGTGGGGGCGGGGGAGTGTCAGGTTGCCAGGTAAGGTTGACGTTGCTGTCACCTCCTA